TTTGGAGTAGATTTGAGCAAGATTTAAGTTAAATTTCAGAAAAGACGCAAGGAAGAAGACGAAGTCAATTTTTTGTATAATTATGTATAATATTGCATAATAGTGTATATGAGTGTATAACGTATCTTATACACTATTATACACTTTTATACACCTTTATACACCTTTATACAAGCGTCTGTAGACGAATTTCTTCCACAATTTTCAATTGCAATTCTTGTTCAAAATCAGTCCAAATCTCCATTAAATGACTTCAAATTTTATATACAACCTCCTTATACTATTTCTAACAAGTCTAGATAACACCCACTCTAAATTTCTCACAAAATCAAATTCAGAATTTAAACCCACATATTTAAGCTTGTTAAAAATCTAATTTTCACCACCCAAATGGATTTAGTTTGTTGAACTAATATTTGAGTCACAGTTACTGATTCGAAAATTAACTTAAAAGCTTGAGCAATCTTTTCTAAAAATTAAATAGTAATTTCGAGAACCTATTAGAGTTGGATGTCGAAGCTTAGCCTATTATTTTTGGGCTAGTTGATTGTAAATTGAAATATATGCTAGGTGAAATGGCTTCCTGGCCACTTAAACTTGTCGGGTTTTTTAAAGCCGATACATAAACTTTCTATTTTCCCATTTGAACACTCGAACTCGTTTTTTCCATAACTAATAAACACATCTGACAAGAGATCATGTGCGCGTGTATTACACATACACATACGTGTCCATCCAGTCAGCAAATGACCAATGGATATCTTACACGTCGGCAAACTCAATATCAAAATGGATCAATAATAAGGAAAAGTAAAGCAGCAACTCCTTCTCTTTGACTGCTTTAGCGTTCTTCTTCATCCCATTAATTACCATTTCAAGCTAATTCCAACACCCCTAGCAACAGAACGCCTATCTCTGCTCCTTTTTCTTCCCTTCACCACACAACACTCCACCTGATCAATTTTCTTCCTCAATCAAAAGCCGAGGTTGTTGTTTGGAGGTTCGTCGTGGTTCAGTTTTTTCGGCGAAGTTCCGGTTACTCGGAAGTTTGCTGTTTCGGTTGCCGATTGAGGTTTCGTTCGTGGTCGTTGGTTCCTGATCTTGATCGCTGGTGCCGGTCCTGAATTTTTCCGACTCTCAAAGTTGAATGATGCCATTATTGGGTTCAAGGAGTTCAACGAACTTGGAAGGGGAAGTTATGGGGAAGTTCAAAACTTAGCTTCAACTCTACAATGACAAAATATACAACTTTCCACCATTTTCACGGTCTGAAAAAATGAAAAAAAAATTGAAAATGGAGCTTTAGATTTTTAAAAATGGAGGAAGTGGGTATTTTAGAAGGAATAAATAAGAACACAATTAAACACAACCCATTTTGTATTGTTGGGCGTTGGGAAGGGGGTTTTCACGCTCCTGTGCGTCGTGTTCCTCACGCGGGCTGCTGATTAGGACCAACTGACGCCACATGAGCATGGTCAATGGTCAAATGTGTTTATTAGTTATGGAAAAAATAAGTTCGAGTGTTCAAATGAGAAAGTTATAAGTTTATGTATCGGCTTTTAAAACCCCGACAAGTTTAGGTGGTCAGGAAGCCCCGTCGGTTTTATGTGAAATTCTCCCAAATTAAAAAATAGGGATCCACGTCGGTTTTATGTGAAATTCTCCCAAATTAAATCCACAGCAGATAATTTGAAAGAGAGTAATAGTCTTTAAGGAATCCTAGGGATGTGTTAGTTAGCAACCCTACTCTTTGCCTCGATCCTCTCAAAAAGCAGCGCCCCCCCCCCCCCAAACCACCCCACCACAAGAAAACGAAGAAGAAACTGGAAAGCATAAAACTGATAAAACATTCCCAAGAAAAGGAGAATCTCACCAGCCACCGTTAAGCTTGATTGCTTGAAAGCCATTTGTTCACATGCTAAAATTAGCAGAAACATGGGATGTTAGTCTTTTGCACCACACAACCTGTTAATTACTATTCATATTATAACCAAAAGCAAATAATACAACTGCATCGTTCTCTTTAATATTTCTGTTTAGGGTAAATAAACAACTCAACTTTGACTATGGTCACTTGGACCAGACGACCAGTAGACCCCAAACATGATATTTTCTTTGTCAGAAGCATGAAGATATATACAAAAAGCAAGAATGCAGAGCCCATATGCGAAGTTAGCCAGGACAGGTTCATCAAAATCAAGAAAGTTAAGAAAGATCTATCTATAACTAAAAGAGAGAAGAAGAATTAAAGACTGTTCTATTCTTCTTGAATCTCGTGCACCAAATCAGAACAAACAACATGCAGTCAGTCTTCGACGTTGTCATGTTTCAGTCTTGTAGCATTACTTTGTTTTATTTGACTGCTTACCTCATCTTTATTTTTAATGAAATTGGATTTAACTAAGCTTTATATAAAGACGACGAAAATAGATTGTTTACACCATTATTTCATACTTAATAATTATTATAAGTACCTCTTATTAAAAGCAAGATTAATATTCTGAAATATTACTGTCATAACATATGTTACGATACACTGATAATATAACAATACTTGACACTATTACTTGTGCATGTAAGTTAATTAAATCTTTACACTAATAGTGTAGAGTATTTTTACACTATTAGCATTATTTTGTTTAATATATGATTACAGGTTAGTTTACCGTCGTAAAGTGGGAAGTTAAACCTGAGCTGAAGTACATATTTTACCATAATACTCATAATAATGATAGTAGTATTTTAAAAAGTGTTAATAATATAACTTGGGGAGTGAGTAGTCTTGATAAATGATTTCGTATTTAATTTTGATTTGCTAAAATTGACAAGCAAAAGTAAAAGAATATTTTTAATATAGTTGACAAGTAAAAGGGAAAGGAGGGAGTATATATATGATTACAGATTAGTTACTGCCCGCTAATTAACGTAAAGTGATGGGCTAAAGTCAAGTTACAGTTAATATTTATCATAAATTTTTACCAAAACTACCTTATAATTGTGCAATTTATACAGTCACCGAATATAACTTAAAATATATGCGTGATTCTTGGGGCAGATTTCCTAGAATACTTTCTGAAATGGGGTAAGTACAGTAGACCAAAAACCTTGGAGTTTGGGAATATAGAAGGGGTCTGGATCTTTTGTATGGAATTGAGTGGGCATATTTTGGTGTCTTTTAAGAATGTTGTCCCCATTTTTTTATTTGGTATACTGTGTATATTACCTTCTTTATCTCTCTCTATGCTCACTTCTCATCATTACATATGTACCCATTATAATTATGGAATCATTACCTACCCAAGAATCTTCTTAATTCCTGCATTGGAGTACTGATGTTTCAGAAATCATTGTTGGAATTATTGCAATTATACAATCAAGCATTGGAAGCACAACGTCGAGTTACTTGGGGACGTGAATATCCCATTTTCTAGGTAGATTTATTGTGAATTCCTAGAATTGGACAAAAGAAATAACTTGGATTTTTCTAAGTACTAGGCCCCTAGGGATGTATGAAAGACATGTTCCAACATGGAAAAGTAAATTCTCCTAAGACTAATGAAAGCTAGCTTAATTTAAACGACAAAATGAAATAAAATGAACTTATTAAGATCTAATGGATATTATCAACATATGTCATATTCACGGATGAAATAAACACTATGAGCTGATGAAAGTTTTTAGTATTTAATAAAAGAGAGATAAAAATAAAGATTCTTCATTTTGAGTGAGTTAGTAGGACTAATTATATATACTCCTGTATCTGATTTAGGAGGACTCCTCCTGTATACAGTTGCAAAAACATTAAACAAGGGAGACTCTCTCTTTCAGGGGCGGATCGGAGGCACAAGCCGAGCTACGGGCTCCATTGAACGTAGTAGCTTTTCCTCAAAAAGTATTTTGATGTTTAGAATTCATTAAAATATATGTATAAATATTAAATTCAGAACTCTATCACTAACACTTGAAGTTGTTATTCTAAAATCCAAAACCCATAACGTTGAAATCTTGATTGCATAGGTACATCATAATTCATAATTAATAATGGAAGAAAAAACAAAGTGATATTAACATTCTTCAAAGAGGCTTTAATTTAACTTGAACTTTCAAAAAGAGAGCTTCCTTGAAGAATCTGAGTTGAGTTGTTTAAAGACACTTGGGAAAAAAATTAAATCTTTCAATGTATTCTTTACAAGATGAGGCATGCATGTGGTTTATAGTGAGAGCAATTTATAAATGAGAATAAAAAGTACAAAAACGAATATTTAACATATCTGATTTTCTATTGAATCCAAATTAGAAGCTACTGAATCTTGAAAGTTGCTTCTTAGAATAACTTCTAGAATATTTAACATATCTGATTCCCAGAATAACTTCTAGAATCAGACATGAGAAAGCTTAATTTATCTAATAGGAACAAACAAGCTGCATTCTCCCATAGTTTTGGTATTTTAAACCTATGAGTTCAACTAATATATACTGATAATGTAAAAAATATTGTACACTATAAGGTCACTCAAAATAAATTACAGTAACTTTTATAGCAAGTATTAATTAACAACCCGCAAAAAATAGTAAAATGAACTATTATAACATGTTAAATTACATTGATAACGAAAATTTTCTTACATTGTTAGTATTATAAGTAAGCTCTAACAAATGGTGTTTGGACATGGACGATCATAAACTTGCAATAAACAATAAACATTACTTTAAACGAGCAATCCTAGAAAAGTTTTATTATATATGGATAAATGAATTTCAATTGGCAATACAAAATCCACGAACAAAATAGTAAGATCTCTTTTGGTCATTTGATGGATCAATCTAGACTATTTAATTTCATCAAGCTAAGTTAGTAAATTGTTGAAAATTGAAGAACTAAAAGTTTAATACTGTAAGCTGCAAATTACATTGATAATTTTGGTTTCATGTCTAACATAAAAGCTTTCATTCTCCAAACATATTCAGCATTAAAACAAACCAAACTACAAAATTAAATGGAAATTAAGATCATAACTTAGAAATAAGGAAACGAAAGGAGAAAAAAAAAACTACAGATTCTAGGGTTTTCAGACATTCTCTCTTCCTAGCATATGATGAAGCTTTTGCTAACAAAATTGTCAGCTTTCAAATTACAACATCGGAATAGGAGAAGAAAGTGAAATACAGAAACATTTGGTAAACTACTTAAAGGGCATTACTGGTAGAAGAAGAGCTAAAACTCGCCGAAAGCTCATTCCAACCACTACCATTACTCCAGTTTTCATTCCCTGGATTCCCTACAAACTGCCGCGACAAACTTGAATGTTCGTGATTGTCTTCCATCTTCATCAAAGCCAGCTGTGTGAGCATGGGATTCGTGATCTTTGGCCTAATTTGACTACTTGTTACAGTAACACCACCCGCGTCATTACTTGTATAGTAAGCCGGGTGAAAAGGATAAAGCCCAGAAGCTGAAGATGAGTCCAATCCGCCATAGAAATTAGGGAATTGGTTCGCCACTTGCTGCTGCAGCCTCCACTGCTCTAAATTACCACCCATTCCGAGCTGAAAATTCATACTTTCGTTGGTTCCAGGAGCTGATGATGAGGAAATTGCCGAGTAATTCATGGTAATATTATTGTCATTACTTGGAGTGAAGTGATGATTATCAGTCAAATGGCCTAAAGGAGACATGAAACGTAGAGGGTGATGAATTTGAGGGGTCATAAGACCTAGTAAACTAGCTGCAGATGATGGACTAGAAAAATTGTTATTATTGTTGCTTGTTGAGCCAGAATTAGTAGGTATTTGGCGGCAGCCACCAGTACTAGTACTAGAAGCTGGAGATTTGGGAGTATTGTTATTGTTGTTGGTCGCTTTAGTACTACTGTTGCTCCTTTTGTTCCTCCGACAACCGCCACCTACAGGGACGCTCCTCAGAGCGCCCCCTCTCGTCCAGTACCTTCTGCATGTCTTGCAGAAGTGACGAGGCTGTGAAAGACTATAGTTGTTAAAGTAGCAAAACTTAGTGTTTGTTGATTCACAACGAGGGCACTTTTGGACCGCCTCGGCCATTGGTATGTTGGCTAACCGGGCTCGGTCAGCCATCGAGCCCGGCCTAATGGTACCTCCACCGCCCACATGAGTCTGAACTGGCGGTGGAGCTGCTAGAGTCCTCTGTGGTTGCACGGATTGGAACTGAGGATTTTGGATGCTATGTCCAGCTTGCTGAAAAATATAAGAAAAGAAAATTAGAAAAAACAAGTAGAATATGCAACAAATTTAAAGGAGGAGGAGAGAAAAACAAAAGGTGAGAGGAATATCTTTATCTTTATGAATTTTTTCACTTTATTTTTTCAAGAACTCATTGACATAAGCATCATATTATTGAAGGAAAAAAAAACCATACCTGCTGCCAGTTGGCTGGATCAAGATAAGAAGCTGAAATAGAGGAAAAAACCATAGTTTCTTGAATGATCTAAGATACTATCTTTTGTAAAGTTAGATGGGGTTTTTGGAATGGGATATTGTTAGTGGAGCATCACATCAAAATGGAAGTGGATGATGGCTCCTTAGGCAAATAGAGAGAAAGAAAGAAAGCAAGAGAGAATAAAGCTAAAGAGAATGAGAATATAAGGAGGTAGCTGAATAAAGTAACAACAGGGCTTTATAGAAGTTGCATTTATATAGATACAATTAGGTCCTGGTTTATTCTTACTGTCTGTTTTTGTTTTATTATTTCTTTTTAAGAGTTCAAGAGGATCTTTGCTTGCTTAGTCTTTAAGCTTCTAATTATTAAACTCTTGACTTGCACCTCCCTAACTCTTAATTAGGAGTTGTTTGGTTGATGTACTTGTTATTCAATTTCTAGATTATGATACAAGGATTAATTATTTAAACATCAAATAATAATTTAATGAAGAGTAGATGTTGTTATGCTATATATAATTATATAAAAATTGTTACGCAATAAAAAAATAATAAAAAGAGCAGTCTGGTGTACAAGGCACTAGTCCACTTTCCCGCAGGATCCAAGGAGGGCCGCACCCCTTAAGGGATATGATCTAGACAGTAAATCCTAATGCAAACATTAGTAGTTGCTACTACGACTCGAACCTGTAACCTACAGGTCACACAGAGAATTTACCGTTGCTCCAAGGCTACATTTAGATACTGAAATATTGTAATGGATAAGATTATATTGTTACGCGATGAACAATAATAATGGAATTAGTTACCTTCTTTATGAGCGTTTTTGTTTAAAAGGCTCTTATCCATGTATTGTTAATACGTGTATGGTTACTTACATTGTATACCACATAAAACCATAATGTATGAATTCTTTAAATAATTTATGCCGGTATATATTTTAGTTTAATACCTTTAACCAAATACTGTATTAGTTACACGGGAATTATTATTTTTAACCGGCCGACCAAATGCTCATTAATTATGTTGAAACATTTTTTCTTCCTATACAACTGACCAAATATCATACTACATTACTTATGCAAAATCTTTTGCAGAAATTACATATATTTAGTAAGGATGCATATGTCATGTGACCAACCAAGTGAATCCCTCAGAGAATGTGGTGATCTTATATGTCATGTTGAATGCATGGAAAAAGTATAGTTGTCTTCATTGTAGCAGTTTGTATGTGTAACTTCACATATATAGCTCATTCTGGTATTTAGCATTTTAAAATTAAATTTTAAGTTTAGTACTCGTTACTTATTCTATGCAGCGAGGGAAACCAAGAGTTATAAAATAATACATGGGATGCAAATTGTTTGTCCTAGAGAAATGATTAAACTATAAGAGAGGAATTAATTAATTTGAGATAAAAGGCCAGTCTTGTGAGCTTTAGACAATCATTCTCAAATCTCAATATTGTCGGGACCAAATGAACTTTTTCTACGTCCCTCCTACCCCCTCTGGGTTTCTTCTTTTTTTTTTTTTTTTTTTTTTTTTTTTTGGGGGGGGTGGGGGACACAATATTGCTGGCATTGGTGGTATAAGATTACTGATTACAGGCTTTACTTTCTAGAGTTCAGTGGATATATTATTTTGTGAAAAAAGTGTAGTTACATATATTCAGTGGAAGAGAATCCGACACGGGGGCTAAATTACAATGTTCAAACTACTCCAGGGCAAAGCAGCTTAGCAGAGTTTAATGGAAAAAAATAGAGGCATATTCAAGATTTAAATTTAATGGGTTGAGTTTTTAAATTTTTTTAATATTGAACTTATTATAGCGTTAAAATTATAGGTTCAAATCCAACACTTATTGAGATTTTCGTAGGTTTTTATATAAAATTCGTATTTCTTGTCGAAAAGTTATAGGTTCAATTGAACTTGCGACTGAAAGGCTACATCCGCCCGAAGAGAAGTAGGGGTACAAGTTCTTAAAAAGATTGATACAAATAATGTGATGAATATGAATAAGGACTTCATTAAGTGTGACTCTTGTTTGAGTAGCTGGCTGCCTAAAACTCATAGATTAAAACTAGTCGGCGAATATATAATATATGTATAATTCATGTATAATATATGTATAAATGTGTATAATCAATATATAATCTATGTATACTGACGAGTAAAAGTAAATCTTGAATCTGACCAGCTATTTGTGTAACAATTCCAACATAGATCTAACAATCAAGGTATTTTTACCTAACTATACTATAATAAAAACTTATTTACCTATATACTTTATGTTGTGTAGTTTTTAATAAGTATCTAAGTTTTTCTTATAAATTGCATACATTGCTCCTTAAACGGCTCCCACCCCATTATTAGTGCCTTCAACTAAGGGATTCAACATCCTTTCCTTTTTTTTCCTCTCCTCTTCTCTCTCTCTTTTATATATATATATATATATATATATATATATATATATATATATATATATATATATATATATATATATATATATATATA